ATTGGGCAATTTTGCGTTCTATTGATATATTTAGAAGTCTGTGGCGAATGTTGGCATTTTGCTTTGAAATTCATCAATCTTTGGAGTTTGGGAGTGCTTATTGGTTTGTATTTAATCGAGAAGGGCGTTGGCAATTTGCTTTGCAATTCTCTACATCTTATAGCGTTTGATTGTGTTTCCATGCTAGTTTCAACACTTGTACATTTTTGGTGACTCGACTTGGGCGTGATGTTTCAATTTGTATTGTTATATCATTCGGGAGCTTTCGGTCTTGACGTGAGGATTCGTTTTGTAATTCTCATATTCTTTGGAGACTCGAGCCGCGCAGTGGTGCATTGCTTTGTCACTTTCATGTCCTTTTGAGTTTGAGTCGATTATCGGTGCATGTTTTGTCATTCCATTTATGTTTGGGACAAGTGAGAAACCAAGTTTGTATTTCTTACTTTCTTACCTTCTCTTATTTTGTGTGTTCTTCTTGTTTCTTGTGCTTTTGTATTTTTGTGCTTGTCGTGCTTTTGACTTGAGTCCCTTGCATATTTATGTTTCGTTTTTTGTTTTTAACCTTTCCTTTTATGGGTACCCAATGAGGGCACTGTGTTGTTTTAAGTGTGAGAGTGGTTTTTGTAAATTACATGCTTATGTGGTGGATCGTCTAGTTTTATTTTGTTAGGTGTTTTGTGTAATTGATCGGGGTTTAGGCTTGGTCGAAATTACTTGTTGATAGTTGAGGAAATTGGAGGGATTCGTTTTTAATTACCGTCCCCTATGTACTTAATAATTTGGATGTCGATTTTTTAAATTATATGACTGTTTGTTCACATAGGTACCCACATAGAATTCACGAAATTGTTCTGTTCCTTGTTAATACCGATTGATGTTCTCGAACCGTTCTTCCATTGTACTCAGTTGTTTAACCGTTATGCTTATGCTCTTGTAATACGTCGTGATTCTGATCTGATTAATTTATAAAAATTATAATATTTTATAAGTCTTAAATAATAATAATAATAATAATAATAATAATAATAATAATAATAATAATAATAATAATAATAATAATAAGAAAGAATTATGAGGGTTATTTCGGTAGGTTAAACGGATATGAGTTATCCAAGCTATTTAAAAGAATATTTTGAATACATGAATCTGCCATGATTGAATTTTTAATAAAAGGTTTTTCAGTGAACTAGAAACCGACGATAGTGTATATACTGTATCAATTACATCAATCCAACAGTAAAATAAAAATTAAATTAATTTCATAACTACATAAAATTTGTTCAACAAAACTATAATGTATCCAAGATTGTTTTTTTGATGCTACATACTGGTCACCCCGTGTGATATTATCCGTACATTTAAACGCAGGATAAATTACTTTTGGTAATCCCAAATATTCCACATTTTTTCTTTTGGCATAAGAAGTTTCATCTTCATCAATTTTGGTCACGTTTTACAAAATTAGTCGCTTTTGCTGCAAACATTAGACAATACTTATATGCGATGGTCGCCGCCTTCGGTGATGGGTTTCATCAAATCATATACCATCGGAAAGATCTGAACCAACCTATCTAGTGATACCTTTTATCTGGAAGTTCGTCAAAGTTGTCGTTAAAAACTTAATTTTTTTCGGATGAACTATGTCTTAACGTTTGACAAAATTTCGCCAACGTTTCAACCGTTGAATTTTCATGAAAAATATATGTATAGAAACTAATTTGTTGATGAATCCAACGGTGTAGCCCGATCATAAATCGAGTCTCTCGATCGCTATAAGTTGGTGAAGTTTCTAGATTTTAGGCGAGTTGCGGCGACTGATAAAGCTAGAAATTTCACTGGCTTATATCTGACGGTCGAGAGACTTGATTGTTGATTGGGATACACTTTTAGATTACTCAAGAAATTGTTTTTCTTTAAAGATTATATATATACATATATATATATATATATATATAAATCCAGCGGTTGGATCTTTAGAAAAAATCAGTTAAACTTTAAAGTATATTTTGTCTGAAAAATTTTAATCATCAACGATGATTTTGGCAAATTTCAGGATATCACATTCTGAAAGAAAATGTACCGTTAGATAGGTCGAGTCAAGATCTTTAAAATAGTAGATGATTTACAAAAATCCGTCACTGGAGGCAGCAGCGACGCGCAACGGAAGATGATGACTTTCAAATTAATTGTTTTTGAAATGATTGGACTTAAAACTAATTAATTAGTGATTCAAAACTGATTAAGTTGGAATTGATCTCACTTAGACTATTAGTCCAAATGACCTCATTTTTTAGTGAATCAAAGTGAGATCAATTCACACTATGAGAATTATTTGTAAACCAATAAAAAAATTACGATTCTATTAAAATATGATTCTATGAAAAAAATATTTTGTCATTAATTAATATGATTACTGTAATGCCCCCCTTTAATTTTAAAGAAACTCCGGACTTTCAGAAAAATCAGATTAAATTTCTCAATATTTATTTCAAATCTTTTTGGCGTTACTCATTTATTTCAAATCATTTCCACAACATAATATCAATTTCATAACATAAATCATCTAACTCCCAAAACGGGATTCATAAATCCATAAATCATCCATTCACCCAAATCGGGTTCCCAAAATAAAACACAAGTTTCAAGACAAAACAATGTCAACGGGGCATCTCCCCAGTAGTGTTTCAACACTTCACAAAATCTCAAAGTTCAAATATTTATCAATCATCAATAGTCATAAAAAAAACAGCGGAAGCATAATCAATAAATATTCGGTCTCATAGACCAACTACCACTCGCTTAACTCCGCCGTCGTACGCGCCTTGCTTAACCTGAAATGTTAATTTCAGGTGGGGATGAGCACAGTTGGTAATCGTAGTGCTCACCACTATGCAATAAACATTAATCAATATAAAAACAGTAATCATAAATAAGTCAGGTATGGTTGCAGCATGTATACGAATCAATTAATTATCCCATCTCCTATCCCAGAGTCAACCCTCATGTGCACACCTACGCATAGACTACTGCTGATACTCGATTCGAATTCCAAAACATATGCCTTGGTCTTACAACGATGCTCAACCAGTAGGAGTAATCCACCCCGCAGGCCAAGACCTACGAATTGGTCTTACAAACGGGGATCACCAGCCGAGAGCCCATGCCCCGGTCTTACGGCCATACATAAATAAAGGAGACTACCCATCGGGTACGTTCTATAGCTACGGGGATAACCGTTCGACGGTCAGTACAGCTCACATCGAAGGCTACATGGTTCACATGCATTCATTGATCATACCACAAATTATACATATATAACATTTACAGCATAGCAAATTTTAAATGAAACCCACCTGGATTTCCGGACTGAAATAACTCAAAGCAATGGAAGTAGGTCGAGGCTGGACTCCTCAAATATCTACATTCGTTGGGACTTGTCTTAGAATCTTATCAAGGCTTTACTGCTACTCGCTAGTCTTATATATATATATATATATATATATATATATATATATTGATATAGGATATTATATACTAGACCAGTCCTAATGGATAAGGGGGGAATATATTGAAGAATATGCCTACATATGGCTAGGACACGTGGCACGATGCTATTGGACAAGCCCAACTTGGGCCATAAGGTACACTCCCCTTATAAAAGGGGGCTAAGGTATCCCATTCACTCACTCTTTACATTCATAATTATACTCTTGGGATTTGGAGTGATACTGACTTGAGCGTCGGAGGCCCGACGTCGGGACCCCTCCCGGCGTTGGGTTCTTGCAGGTACGGAGGCCGTCCGAGTCGAAGGAGCCCAAATGAAATCTTATTCACTTCATTGGCGCCGTCTGTGGGACCCGTTCAAAAAAGCCAAGCGGAGTTCCGATCAAAAAATTATGAAAATTCTCCTTCGACTCCGCCGGCCAAAGTACTCGGATCGAAAAGATGTTTACGTCAACGGGTAGATCTCGTCGATGTTAATCTTCACTTAAAATATCGTGCGAAAATTCATCCGGGAAGGCCTTTGATTTGGCCGGTCAAACTTTCCGGATCTAAGAAATTTTGGTCAATATTCGACCTTCAAAGGCGTTTTTCCGGTGATCCGTGCGGGCTATGAAAAATCCGAGAGCACCATTGTGGATATAAGATTTTTTTAAGAAAAATAAATTGTCAAATATATAAAAATAAATAAAAAAATTATTTCTTTTCAGAAGCTTGGTTTGATTTGTAAATTGATAGTGAATAAAACTATAATAATTAAAACTACAGTAATATAAAATAATAGAGCATTAGTGATTGGTATTAAAAATATGTAAGTGAATAAACAATAAATTTTATTAAAAAAATATAATAATGATTGTTGTTTTTATCTTTTAATTGTGTTAGTTGAATTATAGAGAAAATGGTGAAATAAGATAAAACTTTAAAAAAAAAATTGATTTCATCTCAATCAAATAAATCTAGATTAAATAAACAAATATAAGACATTTTTATATCGAGACCTAAATCAATTGGCTGCAGTTCTATTTTTTTCTTTAAGCAATTCAAATAGAGTTTCATTCCTTCATTTTCAAATAACCAAATGGCAGAGGACTTGGAAACTGTCTATCAAAAGAAAGGTCAGGAATTTCTTATGGAGATGTTACCAGGGCCTTGTGAACACCAATATGAATCTCTTGAAGATAGGGATGAAGGTGGATCCTATTTGTGGTTTTTGTGGTGAAGAGAATGCAGAATTAGACCATATGCTGTTCTTTTGTTCTATGGCAAAGCTATGCTGGAAATTAGTGGGCATATCTTAGTCAGCATTGGAAATGAATGGGTGCTCTTTTCAAAGTTGGTGGAAAGAAATCTGCACTACAAAAGACATCTATGCAATATAAGACAGGATTTTCTTATAAGCTTACCTTATGTGGAGGATTTGGTGTTCCAGGAACAAATGGAAGTTTGAGCAGGAGCTTGTGTCTGAGGTGATATTGGTTGAGGGGGCTAGAAAGGATATGTGGGAGTTCTTATCTGCACAACCTAAGAAACTTCAAGTTCAGAGTCAGCCTTGTGATGCCAACAGCCCTGTTGAAGACCACTTTTCCAAGGGAGTAGGGTAGCTTCTTCTTTCTGTCAGTGCTCAGGGATCTTCAAAAGGTGTGGTGGGATTTGGGGCTGCAATTTATTCTGAGGGGAGATTATTGCATGAATGGCAGACAACATGGCATGGGATGGCACGTTCTGAGGAGGCTACATTGCTGGCTGTGAGATGGGTGCTGAAAAAAGCAATATTTGAAGGGTGAATGCATATTGTTTGTACTGTGTCTCTCAAATGTGTGCTACATCGTTTAAACAATCTGCATATGGGTCTATGTAATAATAATGTAGTTCTAGAAGACATTAGTTTGGTATGCTTGTCATTTGAGTCGTGTGTGTTTAAGCTTTCTTCTTTCTCCTCTCCTAGTTATACTCTAGCCAAGTTGGCTCTTGAGGGTGAACACTGAGGTGCTTCTCCCGTTGTACTATAACCCGTTGGTTATCCTGTTGTACTCTTATCGAGTTATAATACTATCATTTTCGTTTGTAAAAAAAAAAATATATAATTAATAATAGAAAATAATTTTATAAGGTCAGTAAGGGGTGATTGGATATACATTTTGTGGTCACTTCTAATATTTTTTTTAACTCACAATCTAAATTTAACTTAACCTGACCATTCTAAATATTATTAATATAATTAAATAATAAAAATCTACCATTATCACAAATAGACATGACCGTTTGTTCGGCCCGTATCAACAGGGCTATAATGGAGCCCGTTATTGACCGGGCTGGTTCCAGGCCACTTATTTGTAAATTTTGAACTGTCGGGTCGATTTGAACCCGGATCGAAACTGAAACCGACAGTTTGAAATTTTTAATTTTTTTTAAATTTTTAATTGAATTGGGTCGGGTAGTTCAGTGAACAGGAGAGTTCAGTGGAACAGCAGGTTCAATGAACCGACCCGTGCATAAGTTCAGCCCGATTCAGAGCTCTCCAAACCTCAGCCGGAAGCTGGGGCTTAGCCACGTCTACTTACAAATTACATCAATTTTAATTTATTATACATCCGTTCACATAATTTAACTATCAATCTGATATAGGATATTATACTAGACCGGATTTAATGGATAAAAAGGAAATATATTGAAGAATAAGCCTACACATGGCTAGGACACGTGGCATGATGCTATTGGACAAGCCCAAATTGGGCCATAAGGTACACTCTTCCTATAAAAAGGGCCTAAGGTATCCCATTCTCTCATTCTCTCTACATTCATAATTATACTCTTGGGATTTGGAGTGATACTTACTTGAGCGTCGGAGGCCCGACGCCGAGACCCTTCCCGGCGTTGGGTTCTTGCAGGTCTGGTGGCCGTTCGAGTTGAAGGAGCCTGGCTGAAATCTTATTCACTTCATTGACGCCGTCTGTGGGACCCGTTCAAAAAGCCAAACTGAGTTCCAATCGAAAAATTACAAAAATCCTCCTTCGACTTTGTCGGCCAAGGGGCTCGGATCGTAAAAATGTTTACGTCAACGGGTAGATCTCGTCGAGGTGAATCTTCCCTTAAAATCTCATGCGAAAATTCATCCAGAAAGGCCTTCGATTTGGCCGGTCAAATTCCGGATCTAAGAAATTTTGGTCAACATTCGACCTTCAAATGCGTTTTTCTGGCGATCCTGAGGGCTATGAAAAATCTGGGAGCACCATTGGAATCCTCTCGTCGAGACGAGTCTCCAGCATGTGACCTTCGCCAGCGCCGCCGTCGGCCGCCGCCGCCTCCGCCGCCACGAAGAATCCTCCAATCTGGAAAATCTTTTCATCATCACGAAGCTCTTTTTGTGCTCGTTCTACCCTTAAAATATTAAGAGAAAATTCCAAGCGGAAGGCCGTCGATTTGCCGGTCAAAGTTATTAGATCTAGAAAATTATGGGTCAAGCTCCGGTCATCTTCTTCAATTTTCCGGCTATTTCCGGTGAACCACTCTTAATCGAGGACACGATCGAAATGCCCTCGCCAAGGCGCACCTACGGTCGGTGGAATTCGTCGGAGCCGACGTCTTTTTCCGGCAAAGTTGCAGCCGTCAATGTTCTCATTCCCAGCAACCCGTGGCCCAGCGAGGGAGGCCCGAATTTGTACTCCAGCAGCCCGCTGCTTGTCCCACGAGGTGGTCTAGCGTTCAGCCCGTGGCTTAACATGGGGGGCCCAACATCTGCACCCCAACCCAGTTCGCGAAAGCGGAGAGAAAAAATTCGCGAGCCATCTCTAGCCCGCGACGGCCCGCAGCCCTCACAGCCTTAGCCCGCATATAGCCTGCATGTGGCCCGCGCGAGGCCAAGGCTCAGCCCGCTTATCTCACTGCATCTGGCCCGCGAGCCCAGCCATCAGCCTGCGCTGGTTTCAGCCTTCTACCAGGCCCAATATGACGGCCCAACTCTCAACCACACGGCCCAGTGTCCGTATGCATCCCATTTAGAGCCCAACAAGCGTATAGCTCAGCCCAGCGATTGCACTGCGCCCCTAGGCCTTCCAGCTTGACCTTCAGATGGTTGAACAAGGGTCCGGGAGTCATGGTGAGTCCGAAACGATACGAGGTGGACGGTGAGCTAATTTGAGATAGCATTTTCATGATAAAGGTATGTGGCTAATTTAAATTGGAAAATTTGGAGACTTGAGGATTTAAATGTGATACATTCATGAAGAATATTTGATTGATTCGTGGAGATTGTTTGATTTATTCGTGGAAAATATGCGATATGCTCGTGGAGACTATTCAATTTATTTGTGGAACATTATTTGACTTATATATGTAGCATATTTGATATATTCGAGGAATTATTGGATTCGTTTGTGGACTTATATGATTTATTCGAGTAGAATTATTTGATATATTCGTGGAGAATATTTAATATATTCGTGGAGTTTATTTGATATATTCGTGGAGAATATATTCGATTTATTCGGGCAAACTTACTTGATTTATCCATGGAGCCTATTTGATTTGTTGGTAGAGTATTATTGGATATTTGTGGAGCTCTAACCGTCTCTCCTGCCTACCTTATTCGATTTACTCGAGGAGATTATGTGATTTATTCCTGAAGATATTTGATTTGTTCGTAGTGATATTGAATTCGATCATGGAATTATTTGATTTGCTCGTGGTTATATCTAATTCGCTCGTTGAATTATTTGATTTGCTCGTGGTGATATTCGATTTAATCGTGGAATTATTTGATTTACTCGTGGTGATATTCGATTTGATCGTGGAATTATTTGATTTACTCGTTGAGATATTGTTTGACTTATTCGTGGAGATATTATTTGATTTATTCGCGGAGAATTCATTTGATTGAAAATAAATGCGGGTCGTGGTTTCGGATTGCGGATATCTTCTGATTGTGTTTGAATTGACTATTCATAATTTTTAAGCATGTCATTGCTCGAGCATGTCTTAAATCGAGGAGATGGTGATGTTTGTATGTGATCTCTTGTTTTTCTTACGTGAAAAATTGCAAAATGGACGACGTGAATATAATATGGATAACGATATCTCTTTGAATTCTTGTCGAGGAAACATCGAAATAACCCGAGTCTCGACAAGCTATGGTGGACGAGTTGTGGAGTTTCGAGGACAAAGTGAGCGAGCATGGATCCATCAAAGCAGGGTGATAAGGAGGGACGAGTCTGGATGGTGCCTATCGCCGGTGACAAGTTCAGAGGCAGAAATCATTCTCTTTGGGAAAGGTAGGATAATTGGGAGTGGCATTCTCGACTTTCAGGTATAAAATTAATCCCAACTCTCGTGAGTGATCAAGTTCGACCGACTCAATATAATTGAGTCTCCTAGCATTCTTTTTTGGAGTAATGTTCATTGTTTGAGTATTTTGGGTGAAATGTCGTTGAAATTGTGGTGTATCTGGATATGTCTGGAATTATTCTTTGGGTGACTAACAAAATGCAGAAAATGAGGTGTACGTGGAGCCTCGAACAAAATCTGGCACGACTAAGGCCTTTGGGCTGGCCAGTCTCGAGCCGTCATGACTAAGGAGCTTGGTATTGGGAGAAATTCATTCGGATTTTTGTTTGGTGCATTCGTTTAATGATTGTTTGTAGCTGCAGAGTATGGTTTGTTGTAATTGCTTGTCGAATTCATGGTTTTGCGAAATTTTGGTCGACTATACATTTGAATGGGTGTTTATGCGAAATTCTGGTCGACTATACATTTGAATGGGTGTTTATGTGATTTCATATCGTGGTAAAGAGACTTGCATGTAGCTTGTGGTGGTATAAAGGCATGTGGACCAATATGATTGCTTTGATTCATTCGTCTTTTGTTATTATTGCTATCGGGATTGCAAATTGGATGTTGGGGATAAAATGCAACTAATGGAATCTGTTGAATCATTCGAGGAAAATGCATGAGCAGGTGACCTGAATATTAGCTATGGTGAGGAGTGGGAAGCATGGAGCAAACAAAAACTCGGGTCGTCGTGTACAGACATGAAAGGGAGGTCGAAAAAATGCTTGATTCTTTCTATTTTTATATCTTGTTCGATATAACTATGCATTTGATGAGACTAACGAAAATGATCAATTACTATTCTGTCTCGTGGTCTTTGGTGTGTTTCCTTGTCGACCTCCGTGGCAGATCAAAGTGTTCGAGCAGTCCGAAGACAAAAATCCACCATGACTAAGGCCTCCGGGCTGGGTGGTCGCTTGTTTTGTACACCCCTTGGGATGGGCAGGTTGGTTGAAAAAGCCCTCGCCTTCGGGCTGGGTGGCCTCCTGTTTCTGGAACATTCCTCGGATTGGGTGGGCAAGTGCCTGAAGACAAAAATCCACCATGACTAAGGCCTCCGGGCTGGGTGGTCACATGTAACGACCACTCCTTTGAGGGTGGACATGTGTTCGAAGACCAAAATCCACCATGACTAAGGCCTCCGGGCTGGGTGGTCACATGTAACGACCACTCCTTTGAGGGTGGACATGTATTCGAAGAACAAAATCCACCATGACTAAGGCCTCCGGGCTGGGTGGTCGATCCTAGTGTTGGGTCGGTGAAGATATGGATCCTATTGAAGACCTCGGTGGTAGGTTAATGATCTTTACTTGATTGTGGTTATGTCGAATTTATTTTTCGACCTCAGTGGCAGGTCGATTATCTTTATTTGATTCTTGGTTTCGTCGAATTTATTTTTCGACTTCAAGAGAAGGGAGACGGAGTTCATTACGACAATCTTTACTTGGTTTTTGTGTTGTCGAATTTATTTTTCAATCTCAGTGGCGGGTCGATGAAGTTCATTTCGAGCAACTCCGGGAGTTTACTTGCAGACCTCGGTGGTAGGTCGATGATCTTCATTTGGACTTGTCGAAATTCGGCTTTCGACTTCGATGTGGTGTCAGGACATTCGGTTTTCAAGAGGATAAACAGCAGGGTTGAATTTCAAATTTTGAACTGAGAGGGCGATGATAGGAGGAGGTGGTAGGAAAGGCTTATCTTTGAATGAAGAGAGCTCGAACATGGTGATCGGAAAACAACAAGACGTAAGTTCAAATTTTTAAATTCAAGACTTCGGTTCTCGATTTTCGACCTCAGTGGTCGATCAACTTTCGGTGTTCGACCCTAGTGGCGGGTCTCTCTATTTTCGACCTCAGTGGTCGATCAACTTTCGGTGTTCGACCCCAGTGGCGGGTCTCTCGATTTTCGACCTCAGTGGTCGATCAACTTTCGGTGTTCGACCCCAGTCGCAAGTCTCTCGATTTTCGACCTCAGTGGTCGATCAGCTTTTGGTGTTCGACCCCAGTGGCGGGTCTCTCGATTTTCGACCTCAGTGGTCGATCAGCTTTCAATGTTCGACCCCAGTGGTGAGTCTTTCGGTTTTTGATCTCAGTGATCATTCGGTGTTCATTTGGGGTCCCGATGCTCATTTGGAGATTTGGTGACTATTTGGTGGTCGATGATTTATGCAAATTACAACCTCAGCAGTAGGTTGACGGAAACAGCTCGAAGAGGAATTTCACTCTTAGATCGAGTCTTTCAGACTCGACCAGAGTGGGGGGGACTTGATGATATAGGATATTATATACTAGACCAGTCCTAATGGATAAGGGGGGAATATATTGAAGAATATGCCTACATATGGCTAGAACACGTGGCACGATGCTATTGGACAAGCCCAACTTGGGCCATAAGGTACACTCCCCTTATAAAAGGGGGCTAAGGTATCCCATTCACTCACTCTCTACATTCATAATTATACTCTTGGGATTTGGAGTGATACTGACTTGAGCGTCGGAGGCCCGACGCTGGGACCCCTCTCCCGGCGTTGGGTTCTTGCAGGTACGGAGGCCGTCCGAGTCGAAGGAGCCCGAATGAAATCTTATTCACTTCATATATATGCTTCGAAAACATTTTATGTTTAAGTCTTTTCGGTTGGTGGATATCTTGGCTTGCTTAACTTTTAACTCTAAGGACATCTAAGGATCAAACATACTACATGGATCAAGAAATAAATCACTTAGGTCATATAATCGTGCATTTCGATAGTGCGTGCCATTTTCGAAAATCAACAAGTAATTTTGTAAATCATGATATGCGCAGCAATTTATAAATGATCACAACTAGCAGCACATAAGTCAAAATAATATGAAACCAGTGGCATGTGATTCCTAAGACATAGATCTACAACTCTCAAGAATAACTTAGAATCAGACGAGGTCATTATCTACATGATAAATCAACAAACATTCACATAAGAGTACAGTAAAAACATTCAAACAGGATGACAGTATTTTGAGGATAACCCGAGCTACAGTCATGGTAAAAATATGAATCTGGTACTTATAGAAAGGTAAGAAATAAAGATATAATTTTTTTGAAGACAACTTTGGCAAATTCTGACATCGCCACAAAGATAAATCAACAACAACACAAAACATAGCTGCAGTCTAGAAAGGAAAAGAACAACTTACAGCACTTCAGTAATTCCAAGATAACATGAGCTACAAACATGATATTACTGAAATTAAAAAACCCTAAGTTAGGTAACTCAATTTCCTACAACTTTTCTGAAGACTCCATTGGCAAAATATGACATTATCACTGAGGTTAAGTAATAAACATTCAGTTCACAAAACAGTCCGGAGAACTACTTTTCGAATGGGTAGCACTTTAGTAAAATGGCAACAACTCAAGCTACAAAACTCCAATTTATACCAATTCGAAACCTACAGAAGCTACATATGGAATTATATTTATAACACGAAAAATATTATTCAAATGAATTTCTCGAATCAAAATAAATATAGCGGACTACAATCTTTATTATTCGGAGGGCCAACGCCTTGATTTCGGATCAAACGTTGAAATATCCCAAGAACACGAAGAACACGAATCCTTGGTCTTCATCGCAAAGTAGACCTTGAATATTCTCCACGCCGGTTTTTAGTTTACTAACGTTATTCAGAGGCTTTGCAGCTTGTTTCCGGATTGAACACCAGTCTTGAGGTTGAACGCGCTTGAATCTTACTTCGAATCTTCAAAAACGCCTTTGAATCTTCAAGAACACTTGAATCTCGTCGAGAGAATTCTCTAGAGCTCTTGAACTTGAATATGAATTATGAAGTGTTTTTTGTTACATTAGGGAGAGCCCCTATTTATAGGTGTAGAAGGGAGAACCCTACCAAATTTAAGAATCGTAGGACGCGATATGATTGGTCCATGATGATTTACATAAGATCTTTTAGATCTACCTAAATCTCCCCAAGATCTTCTAGAACACATGTGATTTATTACCAAGAAATATGATTTGACACTTGGCAATATTTGATTAGTTAAGAATTAAAATAATAAAATATCAATTAATTAACTATTTAAATTTAGGAATTAAATTTATGAAAATTCCTAAAATATAAATAGAAAATATGACTTGATTTTTAATAAATTAATTTCCACGTGGCGCCATTTGATTGGCCACAATTTTTATGCATCTACAAGAACATTTGGTATGCTTTAATGCTTAACTATTGAACATTTTGCGTGGCCTCAAGCTTTTCAATTAGATGTTTACTTGAGTTCCAAGCTTAGCTCTTGGACGTTTGTTTTCACAGTGGAGCTTCCATGTTGGACGTTTGCCTGGCTTCCAAGCTTAGCTTCTAGACGTTTGCTTTCATAGGCAAGCTTTGATAAAGGACGTTTGGTATGCTTTAAAGCTTAACTCTTGGACGTTTCACATGGCCTCAAGCTTTCCAGTTAGACGTTTAGCAACAGAATAAGCTTGTAATTTAAAAGTTTTAAATGTGTTGCCCCTTCTCATTTAGACGTTTCTCTTCACAGTCGGGCTTTGCATTTGGACGTTTCCTTTGCTTCCAAGCTTTGCTCTTGGACGTTTGTTTTCACAGTCGGGCTTCTTTGCTGGCGTTTATTTGGCTGCCAAACTTAGCTTCTAGACGTTTCTTTGACTTTCGAGCTTTGTTGTTAGACGTTTGAATACATTTTTTTCTATTAATATTTTTTTACCACAAAGATATTTTTGTAAATTTACAATTTTTTTATATTTTTTCGGGCGACAAGTAGTAATTTGGAGAGACAAATAACACCCTTAAAAAATGTGGTATATTAAGATACAGTGTGAAATTTCAAATTTGAGTAATAATAATAATAATTAGCACCAAGATGAAAAGTAGTCCATTAGGAAAAATTTGAGGGTATCCCTCTTGTTGCCAAAGAACGTAGACTTCAGAATCGGAACAGAGCTCTCTGTGTCCAACATAAAAAGGACACACAAACGAGAAGAACATAACCGCAGAAAAAACCCCCGATAGTGGTGGGCATGGAGAGATTGCAGCGGATGTTCACCGGTGGTGGAGGAGCTCTTCGCCACCCGCCGCCGGACTCTCCAACCCTCGACACTTCCGAACAAGTCTACATCTCATCTCTCGCGCTACTTAAAATGCTCAAGCACGGTAAATCTAGGGTTTTCCGCGCTAGAATCACGGATTTACTAATGCCACTTGTTTATTCCTTGTTTATTTTGACTGTGATGAATTTCTACAGGCAGGGCAGGGGTGCCGATGGAAGTCATGGGGCTTATGTTGGGGGAGTTTGTGGATGAGTATACAGTGCGCGTGGTGGACGTCTTTGCGATGCCTCAAAGTGGGACTGGCGTTAGTGTTGAGGCCGTTGACCACGTTTTCCAGACTAATATGCTCGACATGCTTAAGCAAACTGGCAGGTAGAAAGAATAAAATATCCTCATCTGGGAGCAAATATTTTCAGAAATATATATTTTTTTATGTGGTATGATTAATTTGATTTTCTTGATTTTAGTGAAATTTGCTTCTATTGGAAGTCAAGAGGAAATGTTATTAGCCGGCTGAGATGACAGTATCCATAGTTTGTTCTACAACCATTGGAGCAGACTACATTGTTGTGTTGTTAAATTGTGTTGTTACACAAAATTTAATATATCATTTCCTAGAGCTGCCATACTTTTGCTGGAAGCAAGATCGGTAGAAATTCTAGTTATGGTTTAGCTGATTTTCTAGGCCTATTTGTCATTGAAATTATTTGCATTCGCTGACAAAACTCTTGATTAAAACCATTTTCGTTAGCCATACTAGAAGAAAACTTCCTATACAGTTTTAGTGGGGGTATTGTTCATCTACATACATCTATCCCAATGAGCCATCTATCGAACCATTGCAGCAAGATAAAGTAAATCGTGGATATGATTAGATTATTGCTGTGTTCACTTCTCATGAGCTTATATAGCTGTAGTTTCTGCTAAAATTCGTTGTTAGAACCAGAGTTTCAAAATATAAGTTGCAGCATTTGAAAAAATATAGAACTATTTTGATTTGTTATTGGTTACGTCTTCTCTGTTTATCAGCCAGTTAGTATAATCTTTTTTGGTCAACTTATAGGGGGAAAGTTCTCCTCTTGTAATTCTTGTTTGGAAAAGTTTATGCTGTTCATCAAGGTGTCAGGCCATATATACTTATTATATGAATGTTCTTCAAATGGAAATTATTGCCTCTTTCTGATTTAGCCAGTTATCATTTATTTGTCACTTTACTTCTATGTCTACTTTTGCTGTGCCAGATACTTAGATTTCGATCTTTGCTTTTCTTATTGTTTAGTACATTTTCTGAATTACTGTAATCTCTGCTTCAGAATATAGAGGGCTTTGCTTCTTATCAGAAGTTAGGCTGCATCATTCCCTGCCCCAGCTATCAACTGTTACTTTTTAAATTATCCATGCATTGATTTTTTTAACCATTACTAGAAATAAAGCCTCTGAAAATGATCAAGTTATCATGTTCTGTTTTTTGTGACAGACCTGAGATGGTGGTTGGTTGGTACCACTCACATCCTGGTTTTGGATGCTGGCTTTCTGGTGTCGACATTAATACTCAGCAGGTTATTACTCCTCCATTATGTCTTGTTCAAAGCATGGTTGATTAAATTTTTGTAATATTTATACAACACTCTCTTTGTTTGTGTTTTAACTATATAATCTTTTCTTGATTGTTTAGTTTGTCCACATGGGAGTTCTTATCCCAACTTCAGGGCGATATTTGTTCAATTAACAGGATTATGTGACTGAGAATTGCTGACATAAAAAGTGCCATCAGTTACTAAACTGAATTGCATGTATCTTATCATGCAGAGTTTTGAAGCTTTGAATCAGAGAGCGGTAGCAGTGGTGGTTGATCCAATCCAGAGTGTTAAAGGAAAGGTCGTGATAGATGCCTTCCGTCTTATAAACCCCCAAACCATGATGCTCGGTCAAGAGCCAAGACAAACGACATCCAATCTGGGTCATCTTAACAAACCGTCTATCCAGGTATTTTCAAGTCCAGCTGCTTAATTCAAAGTGTTTTTATTGCCTATAGTTTCTGATTTTGTGGAGCTGAACCCATTGCAGGCATTGATTCATGGGTTGAATAGGCATTACTACTCAATTGCCATAAATTACCGTAAGAATGAACTCGAGGAGAAGATGCTTCTGAATCTTCACAAGAAAAAGTGGACTGACGGATTGACCCTACAAAGGTTTGATGCCCACTCCGAAACAAATGAGCAGACTGTACAGGTATTTTGTATGTTTTCCTCACTTTCTCTGTTGCCTTTATAGATTATTTCCTATCTAATCATAGTAAAATGAGAGAGAGAGAGAGAGAGAGAGAGAGAATGGAAGAAAGAATAGTGTGTTCTACTGATGTATCATACATACATGGCCTTCTTTTAAGATTTTTTTCTATTATTTCGCCTTGTGATATTGTGATTTATTAAGTTTGTCAGATTTTAATCTATCTGTTCCAAATTTATTCATTTCTCATGAAATATATACATCTGAGTTATCATGTTTAAAATTCTTCAATCTCTATTGTAGTGTAGCATGTCATTTCTACTTGTTCTAACATACTATTTCTGTTTATTTGCTGAAAACACGCAGGAGATGCTAAATCTAGCCATCAAATACAATAAAGCAGTTCAGGAGGAGGATGAGTTGCCCCCAGAGAAACTAGCTATTGTCAATGTGGGAAAGCAAGATGCTAAGAAACATCTGGAGGAGCACGTCTCAAATTTGATGTCCTCAAATATTGTCCAGACGCTTGGTACGATGCTGGACACGGTTGTTTTCTAAATCTGGAATCTAGAGCACCTGAGATTAACTCTTTCTAATATCTTTAGCATTGTATGAGTTCACTATACTTGCAATTAAGTGGACACTCCTTTGGGAACCATGGCTTGTCAAAAGATTGGGAGATTTGTTCAAATAATAAGCATGATTGAAGTTAGATGTGTAAGGTTTTTTATTTATTGAAGCAAAAAGCCACGGTGTTTCACATAATCATAAAAAGAGATGCACAACATTGGATTGTGCTATAGCAACAACTTGTCTTGTATAAAATTAAACATAAACCCACTACTCAAGGGAACGAACTGTTGAAGAAATCAGCCATCCTCTTCATCCTTTCCTTACTATTGTCGCAATCCGAGTCATTCAAATGAAACACGTGCTTTTCCCCTTGCGCTTCATGGATTTCAATCATACCCATCCACCCACTTCGGCTTAACACATGAAAATAATGCCATCCTCTATCCTTCAATATGTCCTTCTCGGCCACCGAGACCAGCACTCTCCGGCACCCGAGCCCAGCCAAGCCCAACCCACTCTCTGCCATTGGGTTTATCCACGGATGGTCCATTGGACACGAAGGGCACACCAGTGGCCAAAGCCTATCCACGTAAGCCTTCATACCTGGCTCCATCCCCTCTGACCCAATCGTGTCTGACCCCCAGAAATACGGGTCTATCAAAACTATTCCATGAATGGACAATTTTAACCTTGCATCGGGATTCCCAGCGGCCATGGCCAGGTTATGGGCTATATTCGCCCCTGCACTATCGCCTGCTAGAAATATTCTCCCAAAGTCCGCGTGATGGTTCAAGAGATCCTCTGGTCCGTCGTAGTTGCAGTGGGAAGCCACCCACTGGAACGCGGCCCAAGAATCTTCGTATGCAATTGGGAGAGGGTGCTCGGGGGCCTTTCTGTAGTTGACTGACACTGCAATGACCTGACATTCTGCTGCGAGGGCGTTTAGGTAATTGTGGTATGTAGAGGAAGAAGGTGTGTTGGCCAAGAAACCACCACCATGAAAGTAAACAACAAGAGGGAGTTTGTGGCGGGTGTTGGTAGTAGCAAGTGTAAGGTTAGGGAGATAGATTCTTGCGTAGACTTTGGTTTGTGGGATTATGTTTGTGACGTCTTTGGAGGTAACGCCGGTTTGAGGATCATTGCCTGGAGGGGTGGTCTCAGTTCCCATAAGTCTTTTGACATGCCCATTTTTGTACACTTTGACAAATGGGAGGAACTCATAGTCAAGCTCTTCGTTGCTCTCATCAGCCATAGTGAGTGATGAGAGGAAGAGTAAATTAGAGAGATGGTATGTATGGCAAGCTGTAGGAGTAGGAGGATATGAATACTCAAGGATAATTTAACAAGTGGACGTGAATTCTTTCGCTCTTCATCCACATGTGAGTATTGATAGATATATGTGTCTCCTGAGGACTTTGGCAGTGTCCAAACTCCAAACACGCGAGATCTGTAGATCACATCAACCATTTAGAAAATTATCCAGGCTCAGTAGTTTTTTTTGTTTTCTCGTTTATTACTCTGTTGGGGTCGGATCTAGGCGATCTTCGGACCTGTCCTCCCTCTTTTTTCAGCTGTTGGCTACTGTGTATTCAGTTGTTGGCTGCTGTGTATTCGCACATTTGTGCTTTTTTATTTATAAAATTTCTATCGTTTCCA